AGCGGGAATGAAATCATCGGAATGACTGGCATTCTTGGGTTCTGGAACAGCTGAAGTGGCAAAATGATCAATAACCCTGTTATACTTACATTCTTTGGCAACGGCAGCATCATGTTTTTCCGTTGCTTCTTTCAACAAGGCTTCACGCTTGGCCCTTTCTCTAGCCGCTTTGGAGGCCCCCCGCCAAAGAAATGTTGGAATGTCCTTTGGTTTGGAGGAACCTTTGTATCGTCTTCCCTTAAAACCACTAGCGTCGTAGTAAGAAGGGTCATCCTTAGAGATATATTCGGTACTACCGGTGATGGGGTTAAAAACCTCAAGTCCAGCTTCCCGCATCAACTGCTCAAATTCCTCTTCACCCTCCACAGGTCCCGGCTCGACGGCTTTCCTTGGAGACACCAGGTCTTCAATCGTCTGAGCATCCATCTTCTTGGGATCTGGAGGAGCTTCAAGGCTGAGAGTTTCATACAGACCTTCCCTAATAGCCTTGTATCTACCTTTCAAAGGGTAAACAAATGGTCCATCAGGTACGGTAAGTTGGTTGACACGAACAACTTGAACAGACTCATTGAATTCTTTCTCCATGAGGTCCTTCAATGATGCTACAAGAAATTCATTTCTCCAAATGAAACCAGGTTGCATGGCATATCCCAGAAAGATACCTGGGTTTGATGTAGGATCAAAACGCAAATCTTTCTTGGGTTTCAACTTTGGTCCAGTCCAGTAATCAATGCGAGCCCCAAAAGGAATGTTGGGTCCCTTGAATTTTTCCCCAAAACGAAGTTCCCAAGGGGATTTGATTTCGGGGTGATCCTGGATATTATGAGCCATACACCAATGTCGTGCAGCATAGCTCCAATAGGAGTGATGAAGCCCTGCCTGTTCAAGGTTTACTCTAGTCCCTTCAAGTACGGACCTGAGATTCCTCTCGGCGACTGCATTCGACTTCGAAACATAAGCTACACTCGTGTTCTGTCTCCACCCAACTTCCCGACAGGCGAGCTTGATGGATGGTGCAGCGTCAGGGTAGAATATTCCAACTTCTTCACCGGGTGCAACAAAATGCCTACAAGCTAAGACACAGTCTTTGGCATGACTTCTAGCTGAAGGATAAATCCATCGAAAGTTGGTAGCAACATCTTTCATGACCATTGCAACCCTGTCACCATCAATAGATTGTTCGTTGGCATCCCTAGTCACAAGATGGTCCCCAGTGATGTGATCCCCAAACTTGTTGGATTCCACAGTCAATGATTCTCCCTTACTGCGTTTCGTTGGTTTGTACATTTTAGCACACTTGCATGTTTCACAAAAAGGGTTCTTTGGGGTGTGTGTGATCATGTGCCTAAGAGTCCTGGCCTCTTCTCTCAAAGCAGCTTCACCACGATCAATGGCTTTAGGTTCTTCAGGAGCTTTGGCTTCGTCTTCCGAACCCTCGACAACGTCAGGTGTCATAGCTGCAGGAGGTCCTGGTGCAAGTTCACCAGGAAAGAACTCCTCGAGACTGTCGTCACCATGACCCAAGAACTTCATCGTCGTCGGCGATGGAAGCCTCGTAAGGTTCCTCGACCTCTTCGACTTCGTCCTCAGACTCCGTGCCAACGGCTGAGATGCGAGACCTTCGAACAGGTGAAATGATGGGCTTGCCGTTCCCGGCAGCGGAGTCCCATGAAAATGGAATCCCTACTGCAGCGGGTACATGGCCATCTCTGGATGGTAAATAAGGAACATAATCTTTCACTTCAAGTTTGATCTTTGTTCCATCTTTCTTTCTAAAATATGGGCGACTAAAACTCTTCCAAACAAAATCCCATCCATCTTGAATACATCTCATCCCTACCGATATTACAGCCGGGGTATCAGGAAGAACATATGGATGAACTTCTTTGTCGATGCAATCAATATGAACAGAAGCTTGTTGGTCAGCTGATTGAGATCCATTTGCAGTGATTAATTCAAGGGGTTCATGAGAGTGATACACAACGTCTTCGGGAATCATCTTGCTGCAAACTAAGTCCTGAGCACTACCAGTGTCGGCGATCCGAACGGACGCAATGGCGACTGCAAAGTTGCATTTGCAAGATTTCCCATGCAACTCCCGAAAGACAGCTGATTGCAACATCTGTGCTGCAAGTATAGCATCACTTTCTCGTGCTTCGATCGTATCTTTACGAGTACGATCGTCCTTTGTGATGCGAACTGGATTGTGAGTTCGATGCTTAGCATGGCATGGATTCAAATTGCAATTATGCTCAATGGGAACTTCGAAGATTTCAACGTTGCTCCCAAATGAAACAGTGCGATTGGGTGTAACTGGCATGGCAAAATGCTGGCTGAAAAAGTGCGGAGAGGCGATGCCTTCCGGCACGCGATGAGTACTGGTCGAAGGGTTGATAACTGCGACCATCATCAGAGCGCGCATCAGGCAAACTGCAGCTGAGCCAGAGGAAGACGGTTTTCCCCCTTTATCTTTGAGACTCTGGAGGAGTTGGAACCTCGACTTGACGACCTGGAGCGGTCGCCCTTCTTCTTGTTCTTCTTCTTCTTGTTCTGGCTCTTTCCACGCTTGTCATCTTTGGTAGATGGAGCTGCAGGCTTCGGTGGGTGTTGGAAAGCACAGTCATTTCCACGTTGACACTTCCCTGCCTTCCACTTACACACTTGGTTCCTAGATCCTGGAGACAAAGACCGACTAGTGCCTCTTGACTTGCACCTCAACTTACCTTTCTTGCCTCCGCCTTTTCCTTTGTCAGACTTTTCATGTTTGTAACAGCAATCCTTTCCCCGAGTGCACTTGCCAGCCTGGAAGTCGTAGCAAATGCCTGGGGCTTTGCCCGCAGACGACGGTCTGGTGGGCGCTGGGGTGGCGTCTCTCTTACCTGAAACTGACTTCTTGGTGGCCTGTCGCATCTTTTCAAGACGCTTTCTCTCAAGGTAATCCCTCGCGGCTTTCATGAGAAAATCATAAGAGCGGTTGGGTTCCCCCTCCGGTGTGCGATCGTACACAGCCAGATCATGAGAGAGAGGCTTGAAGTTCTTGATGGCGTTGTGAAAGTAAGCTTGCTTCCACATCATGTCAGGCTCGGAAGTCATTCCAGCGATCACAGCGTCCCATCTGGTGATGAAACCTCTGAGATCATCATTGACTAAGGTAACAGCCATGAGGTCTTCAATGTCGTACACTGCACCATGTGTCCTACTTGTGCTAAAGTGCTTGTGGATCATGAGCAATGCTTGACGTCCCCTAGCTGGTGTCCCTGACTTGGCTTGTTCTTCCTTAAAGATGTCAAGTTGCCGTGCAAGTCCCCTTCGCAGATGTTGGTGAGCGAAGACATGAGCTTTGCGTCGAGGGTCACGAACTTACCTGAGTCCTTCAAGGCTTCGACGGACTGATCCGTCTTGAAAACTTCTTCAACCCACTGGAAAGCTAGGTCAGGTTTAGCTGAACTGCAATTACGGCATCCCTTACTCGGATTCTCCAATTCCTATAGTTGAGGGAACTTAGGTACTACTAGTAGGATTCTATCAGACCCTTTGGCCTTACTATCATTAGTCCTAGAACGCTCTAAGGCCCTCTTGACCTTTCGTGCAAAGGAACTCTCAGAATCCGAACTGGACGTGGTAGGCGATGAAGATGATGAAGGGGAAGAAGATGGATCCCGACGACGTCGGCGTCTGGATCGGCCACGGCTTGTTTTGCGGCCCTTCTTTCTGTCCTTCTTGTTCTTGCGATCTTTCCTGTCATTGAAGTCGTCGTCATCATCATCGTCAGGAGGTCCTCCACCGGGAAGTCCTGGTGGTTTGAAGGGGTCTGCCAAAGAGCGCTCATCATCTGCATCAGATGAATGCTTGGGCTTCTTGTCACCTGAATCAAGCTCCTCAATGGTTGGTCTTGAAGATTGCGATGTCTTCGGAATGGGTTTTCCTGGTCCATAATGAATTTCAAGTCCAGGGGTTCCCTCCAGAGGTTGAGACTTCAAACTTCGGATCAACTCCTTCTGCTCTTTCCGAAGCTTTTCGATCTCTGCCTCAAAGTCCTTCTTCTGAGTTTCGGCCAACCTTCTCATGTTCGTTGCATGTTGGTTCATGACATCAATCTGTGTGCGGTACTCTGCAAGTTCCGAACGAGCCGCCTGCAAGTCGGCATTGGACTTCTCTGCAGACGATGTCAAGATACCTGCACTGTTGACTACATGACGTAGTTCGGCACTCAATTCCTTGATGCGATGATCCTGCGCTTGAACATGCAGATGAGCAGATTTCTGCTCACTCATCGCCTGGGCGGCTTGCTCATTCAACAAAAGGTTCTTCTTGGAAATCTCGTCGGCTGCTCATTGTTCGATGCTTGCAAGTTGATCTCGAGCTTCACTCACAAGCGCATCCCTTTGACGTTCCATGACCTCAGAGTGAAGCATATTAGCCTCGCTCTGCAATGCCTGCTGTTGTGCAGCCATCAATTGACTTGCCAGAGTAGGATCAACACCTTGCTGCACCACTGCCACTTGGGCGGTACGTTGGTCAATGTTGTTAAAGTTGATGGTGTTGAGTTGGCTAATGTCAATGTTTGCAGCCAAAACTCCGGCATGTTTCTGCGTGGATCATGTCGACATGGGCCAAAGTCTTCTTCCAAGTAACTCATATCACCTTCAGTTGTTGCCGCGCCTGAATGGATCACCATCTCCTCCGGCTGCGTAGCATTCGCAAGTGCTAATGCAGCCGAGGCGTTCCCGCCCGGGGCAGGAAGCGCGGGGGTTGAAGCCATTGCGAAAGCAAGAGGAGAGAAGAGCGAAAAGTGTGAAACAAAGGAACCCAGCGATCGCTTGGCGATACGGCTGATAACCTGTAGAAGCGGGTTACAAACCACTAAAGGCCACAAACCAAGTATACCCGCTACACACCGTTTTCTTGAGCCATCGCCACACAATCAATAGGGTGAAAAGTATGCATACATGTACTAGGACTGTGCAACAACACTATTCACCCGGGTTTACCGGAGGCTCCTGGAATCTTGGCTCAACTCAAAGCCTCTGGACGGATGGGAAGCATCTAAGCCTCCGGAAACGCGAGGGAAAAAGGGGGCCAAGATGGCCCAAGACATGCAAATATTGAAACTGATTCTCCATATTTGAAACTGAAAAATCGCCCTCATTTCACCATGCTCTCAAAATCAACAGATCCAATACTGAAACAAACCAGGTGACCAGGTGTTTCCAAGTGTTTTGGCAGGGCGAGAGGGGGGGTCCAGACGAGGGGCTTTGGGGGGGTCCAGACGAGGCGTCGCCCTTTTGGCAGGGGATGGTGAACATTTGGGCGCGATTATACAATCTAAACATATCTAAACTGTCTTCTATAGTTCCGCAGAGTTCTATAGAGGTCTATAGTGTATATGTAGTGTTGGAATATGTTTTGACCAACTTGGAGGACAATAATGAAATATGTTTTGAACATAATGAATGAACATGATTGGAACCAAAAATCTGAGTTTTCACACTTTGCACGGGAGCGGCCTTTGAAAGGTGAGCCAGGTATGCTCCACGCTTCTGCGGCTTCAAGAGTCCTTTCTGTCAAGGACCTGCTCCAACTGAACGATGTGGAGACGTGCGGTCGCTTCGCCATCAATGCCATCAATCTAGAACTTAAATGAATTTAATCCATTCAAAATGAATATAACAAGAATATAGAATTTCCCCATATGGCCATATCTGTCCCCAATGCGAATAGATCCTGCACACTCAACCGGGGTTACCACCGTCAAACAGCGCAACTTCGGAACCTGTTCGAAGGTTCGGCCAAGGGCCTCAGATCTTTGACGGCTTTGGCCTTAGTGCCCAGTTGCATGCTACCAGAAACAATGAAACTGCAGGTTCAACATGGTTCAACAGTTCAAATTATTGAAACAATTGGCCTCAACTGACTTTACCCTTTGACCATATTTATCTTTCAATGGAATTTCCGGATTCTGTTTGTACACTATTTCAATTATTTCCTACTGACAACATGTCCTTGTCATGAATCTGTTCCAAATCTGTTCCCAAGAGCCCCGGATTTCAAATGTTGCAATCTTTTTCGGATGGTGTCCTCTGCAGACGTCCTGCCAGTCCGACATCAAACACATGTTTTATGCTTTTGCTAGTGCTCTGAGATAGCAAATTCTGCGCAGGATGGGTGAAGGCCCCATAATTCCTATAATTCACTGGGGTTGATGCAAAAAGAGGGCTTATCATTCTTTCCTAAGCAACAAAAGAATGTATACCACATACGCTGTACCCCATGGAACGGGGCTAAACATCCGAGCTCCCAACCCCTCGAGCACTGATGGGTGAGATCAATCCTCCCTTCACTGCTGGCAGCCGCGGCGTTCGAGATGTCCGGGGATCGGCAAATTCCCATCGCCTCGGAAAATGACCCGGGAAAAGCTTCAAAAAAAAATGGCGGAATGCAAAGGATAGGACATATCAAAGAAATTCAAAGAACTCACTTTTGAATAAGCTGTTGTCTACTCAGTCTACTGTACAGGTCGGTCTTTCAAACATTCTCAGAGGGGCATGAGAAGACAGTCTCTATACACGGACCACGGCAGGTGCTGTCATGTCTGGCCTCAAACTCATTGAAGCCGGCGAGCCAGAGCAGCCAGAGACCGTCATTGCGCGTGTCCAAATTTCGTGTGAAGTGCTGCAGATTAAACAGATACACTTTTCCCCTTTCTCAAACCTCAAAGTCTAGTTTTCCGGCGATGATTCTTGATTCCTAGTTGTTATATGTTCAAAATGTTCATCAGTCCACCCCTACGCCTTTCCTGCATTGATTCGATTCCATGGAGCCAAAGGCAAGTCAAGTGAAAGACGCTTGGCTGTTTCCAGTGGCTACCTTCTCGACACCGCAGCAACCTTCACTGCACCTCTCTGAAACGACAAAACGGAAATTTCAAAACTGGCCGATTTCGTCGCTGCGACAATGCGACGCAGCCAGGGCAGATCCTCGTTCAGTTTCCGCCACTTCGGGCGACGGCGTTTCCGGTGTTTCGAACTTTCCATCGACCAGGAAATGGCGAGATCTGGCAGGTTATGGCCTGTTTTCCGGCACTCTGAACGGCATAAAATGGTATACATGTGTAACATGCATTTTAGTATCTGACAAATCAAGATAAATTCTGTATAAACCCAAACTTTCTCTCTCACTGTAGCGCATTGAGCATCAGGTGACAAAACAGACCTTTTTCAGCGGCCAAAGTGCAAAGCTGTGTGTCTTTAAGAGCAACACGCTCTGCACGGCCCAAAACTGGTTAGCTTTCAGCGCTGAGAGAGACACGACGCTGCCAAGTCAAAGGGATGAACCTTTTGCGAAGCAAAACCTACCAGGGATGAACCAAAACAGAGGCAAAACCTCGGCATGATTTCATGTCTCTAGGAGCACTGTGAAGAGAATCTTTGCTCACTGGTCCGGAAAAAACTCCATGTCTTCAGTATTTCAGGCTTTCAGTGAGCACACAAAGAATTGCCCTTGCCTTCGCAAGGTGTTGTTTTCTCGGTCGCCCAGGCCAATTTTCAAACCCCTGACAGGGCGAACAGCGCCACCAAGAGTGGCCAAGGAATCCATCGAATTCCAGCAGCTGTCGGAGAATCCCTTGTCTCTTTTGAGGCACCCACCCCACAGGAGTTCCCTTCGTGGCCGGCGCGGTACCAGGCGTCTCTCGAAAACACCAGAGGAGCCCTCTGGAAGTGATCCAATGGTAGTGAAGGGCCCTTCAGAACTTCAGCAGTATGGTAAACAAAGAGTATTCGCAAACTGATGGGTTCTCAAATTTCGAAAGACGCCCATAAAAAGGCAATGGAAATATTCTCAAAACTTCGGAGCCATGTTGACATGACTAAGCAGGACGTGCGCACCACTCTGTGGCAGAGTTGGCCAGCAAAAGTGACTCTGGAAGTGGATGATTTCACTCCAGTGTTGGGAATTCGTAGGGATTCCAGTTGATGGATTGTGTTAATCCCCAAGGTATGCATATCTATAATCATCAACCCCACATATGAAAGTTTCCTAAAATAGGGGGGTACCATCCATTTTGATAGGATTTTTCATGATTTTTCGCTACCATCCAACTCTTCGGGTACCCCGATGACTATGGAAACACCCAGTCTTACAGGCACTGTTCGAATCTCATAGCTTCGATACCGGGCGAACTGCTTCCATCACAGAACGATGCACACGGCCCGACTCAGTCCACCGAATCACTTTCGTCAAGTGCTCGGCCTGGAGCGTGTTTTATAGCCACAAAACGGTGGATAGCCACAAAAATAGCTATGTTTAATGAGAAAATGAATGAACATGATATGATGCATATTTCTGAAAAAAGTGGGGTACCCTGTTTTAGATAAGCCAGTATAACCGTCAACCAACAGGGGTTCTGGGCATTCCTGAATTGCCAGTGAGGGGTGTCATTGTACTGTCCCAAAAGTTTTCAAACACGAGAATATTATAAGGAAATAAAGCACCAAAAAAAAAGTTCGCCATGAGTTTCTATCCATTTTTGGGTACCTCGATTTATGGAAACCTCCATTTTTTGTGTCCCCTCCCGTGGTATCGCCCTTTTGCTGCCTGGCATTCCGAGCCCAGCTCGTTCCCAAAGGGAAAGGCTGGCGGATCAGCTGGATATCGCTGTACCTGGTGGAATAAAGTTCTTCGTTGGCGACCAAAACCCATCAAAACCCATGGCAAATATGGGCAAATTGTAGGTGCCCTGACTTTTTCGTAGCTGATTACTCTACTGATGTCACGATTGATGGATTTTATGGCTAAGAATTTCTCAGCATTGAACTAGTCAAGGATTATCCAGTGAGGAGAATCCCATCACGATTCGGCCGGAGCTGACCAACTCAAAATGAAGATGTTTCCCATCCCGATTCGACCATTTCACTCCCATTTGAAGGGAAATCTTGGGGGGTGCCATCTGGGTATGGACCTGGTCATCTGCAAGACTTGCTGGGCCTTAAACTAGATTTGGGGCCCACCAGCTTTCAAGCTTGGGACTACATGATTTTGTTTTATCCCAAGGGGAAAACACATGTGCCAAGGTCAAGTTACCTAGATGATGATGAATATGGTACCCATCCGATAGTGGGAATCCTTACAATGTATATACAAATCCATATGAACGCGCACGTGACCATTCCCCTTTATGGGAAAACCATATTATAACTTGACCATGTGACTCCTTTGGTCCAAAGCCGCGTTTTGAACAAGTGAGAAAAAATGTCACATTGACATTGCATCAACCGCTTCATTGTATCCATCTGTATCTGGGCCTTTTACAAATAATTTCCAGTTTGCTAGTGCTGCTAGTCAGTCTTGTCACTTGTAAAGTCAGTCTCCCAACCTCATGTTGGGTCCACTTTCCCCACTTTCCGTTCCTTTTTTGACATCCATTTGGATCCCTTGGGTCGGTGACGGTGCAGAACTTCCTCATCGCCGTGCTTTCAACCCCTTGGGGGCGCCACCCTTCAGCAAGCGCTGCAGCAACGCCACGGCGCCATGGCGCTTGGAGGCGTCTGCCGCGTTGGTAGATGCCACTCTCCTGGCAGAACAGACTAGTGAATTCGATGACTTTGGATGGTTATTTTTATTACTATATATTATATATTGCCAAAGAAATTGAAACCAGAGGGATTCTCTGGTTGAGGGAGAAACAGCACACTGCCAAGCAGGAAAAGGGGCAGTGGCTCCGGGGGCAAAAAGGGGCAAAAAACCTCGTGGATTCCACGGGCTTGCTCGTACGCCAAATTGAGGACGAGCTACAAGGCGCCAAAAATGGGATCAAGAAAATGAAGTTGTACAGATCCCGAAGGAAAAGCGAGGTGAACTCGCGAAAGAAATGCAGGGTGACAAAAACCAAAGTGCCACTGCAAAGGTGCGAGGAAAAGGAGGCCCGGCTCTCAGAAGGGCCCGCCATCGAAAGATCTAGCCGGAAGGTGGAGCTTCGCAGCGACGGCGGAGAACCACCCGAGCTCGCCAGCTGCGAACCACCACGCAAAGCTCTTGCAGCAAGAGGCTGTAGGAGTCGCCGGGATTGGAAGAGCGAGCGGCCGCAGCCTGAGCCATGTGCTTCAACACCTTTGCTGCAGCCAGGTCCCAGGTGCCAGTGGCTTCCACAACCATTGGAGTGAAGGTCACCCCCTGACGGCGGCAATCTTCGGCAGTTTGAAGGTGTTGGGCTTTGTGCGCTGCATAGGCCGCGGCAGCCGCGCCAGCTATGAGAGCTGCCTGGGCAATGGTTTCCTGTCGCTGTGGCGCCGTAACGGCGACGTCAAGTGCAACAGGTCCCCCGGCCATGGCAGGAATATAGACATCCGCAGGGCGACGACAGGCAGCCGAAGTGTCGTCAGGGCACTGGGGCAATAGGAGCCGGGTGGGCTCTTTCTCGGGGCGCAACCCTGCACGGTCGGCCCATTTGAAGACCACGTCTCACACAGCATGGTGTCTTTCATTCCGTTCTCCACCAGCAGCGCACATCGCGGCATGGTGGCTCATGGCGTCCAATACTGCGGGCACCAAGTGTCGAATGGTTCAAGCCGGCCACGCCCTCCTGCAAGCCCGCTGCGGCCTTCACGGCCGTAGCAGAGAAGGCAGAGTCAATGTCCACGCAAGCTTCTAGGCTGGCACCCACTGAAGCGATGTAAGCACCAGCAGCATGCAGGGAGGTGGCCCGGAGCCCGAGCCCTGCAAAGTTGAGGCCGCGCGTGGCCTGGTCCCATTGGCCATCTGATGGATGGATGCCGCTAAAGTCACCGAAGCATCGGCGGACCATCCCGTCAAACATGTTGAGGGCCAGGCGGTGGGCAGTAGGAGGAGTGCACCGCATGCTGTGGACCATCCGGGTAAAACCGCCGCAAGCCCGTAAGAGACGAAGAGCAACCTGGGGATCTTCGGGCACTCCGATGGCATCCAGCAGGTCGCCAGCTTTCGCAGCTCGTTCCTTAGTGTGGGATTGCATAAAAGCAGCGTCCCCCACTGCTGCTCCAAGGAACTCAAAGTTCTGCGAAACTTTGCAAGTGCCATCGGCATGGCGCGGCAAGGCATCAGGCAAGGCTCCATGGAGAGTTGGCACGGCTTGGGGGTGAAGTGCCACCGCTTCGCACTTTGCCAGGTTGAGGTCCAAGCCAAGGTGGGCCGCCCGCTGCTGCACGAGACGTAAGGCCGCGCTGACAGCGCCAAGGTCGCCAGCCAACAGCCCGTCGTCCAGGTAATGCACCGCGATGTCCAGTCCAAGCGTCTTGAGCTCAGCGGCTAAGGGGCGGAGGGCGGCGGCAAAAAGGAGGGGGCCAAGGGGGTCACCTTGTTGAACTCCAGAAGTGGAATGCAACGTGTGTTCACCAAATTGCAAACGGCCAGGATGACTGTAGCACCAAGTGGCCCACCGCGCCAGCGAAGGAAAGTGGGCAGCCACTTCGTCGAGAACAACTAGTCGGCGAATGCAGTCGAATGCTATATATTACTATTATATACTAGAATTTGCTATCATTACTATTCTCATTGTTATTGCTAATATTATTTAATATTATTATTATCATTATTATCATTCTTATCATTATTATTAATATGTTTATCATTGTATACTTCTACTTACTGTCATTGTCATAGAGTCATATTTATTACTCTCACCTACCAGTTTCTGATGCCCAAAATTCTTCACTGCCAGCTGATCCAAGGAAAAAATGATACCACGGAGTGTAGCACCACATCCCTGCCTGACATGGGCCAAGAGTGCCTCAACAAGAAAATGTTGCTGCATCCACTGAGAGGGACCACAAAAATTTGATCGAATCAAATCGAAGCATTGAATTTGCCTCTGGCCAACATACGAAAGCTGGCCTGTGTGTCACTATGCCTGCAGCCAGCAAGAGGCGTATTGAGATGAAATACAGCACCACACGCAAGCAATCTCACACAAATGACAGAAGAACTTACTCCTTGACTTCTAGTACACATAGAATAAACTGTCCTCGTGCAAATCCAGCCACATCAGGTCCTTCAGCTCCTTTCGCTCCTCCGTCTGCTGGAGCATGTAGAGGGGCCCCACTTCCAGGTTATGTGACCTGGTCACCTAAATATCCCAGTATACTGTCTGCCAATTGGTTGCAATTCACATAGAATATGGAATCCATTGGAAGCCATTTTCGAATATCCCCTAAAGGCACTCCCAAACATCCCTAAACCCTGAGTTGGTATTGGATCGGAGTTGGTGCCAACTTCACAGTCAAACCGAGTCAAACCATGTATATTCTATACTCATCTACACTCAGTCTCGTTCTCAAAAGATCGGTGAATTTGTTTGGAACTTCCAGTTGTAAGACTTCCTTTCGAGTTTTTGTCAGTTCTTGTCTCCTTTTTTGCTTTTTTTGTTTTGCTTCTTGCCTTCTTGTCTCCACGTGCGAAGAAACAAAGCCAGGCCAGCGAGGCATACGAGGCCATCAAGGGTCCCCAAATGGAGAACGGCCAAGCTGCACGGTGCACCTCGATTGCCTGAGCAGTGACCGGTTCTTCCAGGGGCTTGCGTCATGTTCCACTTCCGTCCATGATGGCCATGGCATTGGCCATGATTTCATGGAAAACCTCCATGCCTTTGCCGTCGACAGCGCTTGCTGACCATCTGCATCGCGAAAATTCACCTCGCCACCGTGGCCAACTGGTATCACAAGATCATCTGATACCTCTCAATGAATGGGTGCTTTAAAAATAACATGACGTTTGCCATGTCAATGCCCACTTGTGTTGAGCAAAATTTGCTGCTTACAACCGAGTTCTGGCAGGGTGACCTCAATGTGTTCCCTTAAGATTGCCAGTTCCTGTTTCAACATCGTTGAAAAACAGCTATTAAAACCATGGAAAACTATAGAAAACTCGATTTAAACCAGCATTTTTGCACCATGTTTCCATCTTTTTCCCAAAAAAACCCTGGATTTCTGCCATTTTTCTGCCGTTCCGCCTGCATTCGTCGCAGCTCCGGCTGCAGCAGCTCCAGGCGTCGTTGGAAGTCGCCGAAGCCCGGGCGGTGGCGGCCGCTCCACGTGGCTTCGGCCAGGGCGGCGCCGCGGGGCCAGGCCTTTGGAAAAAAATATTAAGAGTAACTAGCTAAGATATTACATGATATTATATGATATTACATATGATATGATGGTTTAAATTATGGTGTCTTTTGATGGTAATGTTTATACCAGTAGTACCGCACAAGGCGGTGGCGGAAGTTTCAAAAATGGAAAACCTATAGGAGAGGTGAGTTGGTGTGACGCAAAAATGGCAGAGCGAACCCACTGATGGATTGAAAGGTGGTTGGGTGTTTCTCCCTTTCTGTCTCTCTTTCTCTCTTTCTCTCTGTGTCTCTCTTTCGCCATCTATCTACAGAGCTACCTTTCTAGCCATCTACCTATCTACCTGTCTATTCATGTATCTATCGATCGATTTGTTTATTCACCTATCTATTAAACTGTCTATCTTTTTATCTGTCTAGCTACCTACCTACCCATCTATGTCTCTGTCTGTTTTCTATGTCTCCATCTATGTATCTATCTATGTATCTATCTATCTATCTATCGATCGATCTATCTATCTATCTATCTATCTGTCCATCTATCTAGTAAACTATCGATCTATCTCCCTATGTGTCTATCTATGCATCTATTCATCCGTCAAGTTCTCTCTCCACCTGTCCTTCGATCTACCTCTTGACCTGTCGATCAATCTGTCTAACCGCCACGTCGACAACAAAACAATGCTGCTAGACTTCTGTTGGCAACATCAAAAACGAAGCAATTCTGCGAGACTTTCTTACTTTTTGCAGTTGAAAACTTCAAAAACGAAGCGATTCTGCGAGACTTCCTTCAAAAATGGGAAGTTGACTGTACAGCTGACGGCCTCGTACCAATGCGTTTTGCGATTTTCCATGCCGTGTCTCTAAAGTACTGCGCCTGCCACGAAAAAGTTAGTCCAGGTCATACGAAATGCTGCACCTGTCACGAAATAGCATCTTGGCATAGCTGATGATTTGATACGCCAAAATGCAACCACTCTCAGGAAATCCCCTCCTTGAGCTCCGAACATCTCTGCTGAAGATGCCTCTTGTACTGCGCCTGCCACGAAAAATGCATCTGTGCAGATCCTCTTCAAATCTCCCACGCCTGCCATCGTTTTTGAAAATGCCACAAAACCCTCACGTTTTAGTCACTTTCAGTGGATGCACAATCCACTCCACCTACCATACGAAACGACGTCTGAACGTCCAAAATGTCTCCGAGACCCTCAGTTTTTAACACTTTTGACTTCGAAATGTGCTTCGCGCCACAATGCCTTGCACTTTTTCGACATCTCAACTTCCAAAAGTGCTCCGAGACCGCCAGTTTTTAACACTTGTGACTTCCAAATGTGCTTCGCGCCACAATGCCTTGCACTTTTTCGACATCTCAACTTCCAAAAGTGCTCCGACCTCAGTGTTGAACACTTTTGACTTCGAAATGTGCTTCGCGCCACAACGCCGTGCACTTTTTCAACATCTCAACTTCCAAACTGCTCCGAACCCCTCAGTTTTTAACACATTTTACTTCCAAATGTGCTTCGCGCCACAACGCCGTGCACTTTTTCAACATCTCAACTTCCAAAACTGCTCCGAACCCCTCAGTTTTTAACACTTTTTACTTCCAAATGTGCTTCGCGCCACAACGCCGTGCACTTTTTCAACATCTCAACTTCCAAGAGTGGTCCGATCCTGGGGTGTTTTGTGCCTTTTCACTTCGAAATCGGCTTCGCGCCACAACGGCGTGCAACTTTTCATCTCTCATCTCCCCAGATGTCTCCGCACCCGCCGCTTTAGCGAGCCTACTTTTCAACCCTCCGGAGCCACAAAACCACGAAAAAACACAGTGCTTCACGACTTTCCTACCTTTTCGCGCACCTGCATCTTCTTTCTTTTGATCTTTTCTCTTCTGACTCTTCTCCCTGCTGACTGCTTTTTCATCTCTCCATATTGTCGGAAGTTTGACTTCTAAGCTTCCTTCGATGATACGGAGTGATACGGTATCCCTACAGAGCGACATTAACAGCAATGTTCACTTTGAAGCATGAAAAATATTATCTATTGAAGAATCTATTGTATACATGTGTGCGAAAGATTCAACCCAATAGACCGAATTAGACAAAATCCTATCTATTCTAGGATTTTGACTATTTCCTAGATTTTTATATATAAGATATTTTTTTAGATAACTATTTTAGACTATTTAAAAACTACAAAATAGATAGATTTTTTGCAAACTATTTTCTGGAAATCTATCTATTTTGATTTGTCTATTTTCAAAAAAATAGTTAGATTTAGAGTTACCTATATAGATACATTTTGCCGAAATAGATATCTATAAATAGATAGAATTTGCCGAAATAGATATCTATTTTTGACAGTAAAACTTCGAACGAACTCCGGGGTCACACCTGGGGCACGATATAAAACTTCGAAGTTGGCTTCGGAGTTTTATATCAAAATTTGACAGATAATTTGCCTCTTAGTTTTGTGGACACACACGATCATGCAATAAGTTGTGATAAATATATATACATATATATTGATGCATTTTGATGTTTTGATCATAAAAACTGTCATTGGCTCTGACCACACAATGTCATGTAAACATGTTCCAGCTTGATTCAGTGCATGCATCAATATATTATATATGCATTAGAACACGAACGGTCAAGATACTACAGGCAATGTCTCTTTTGCTACATAGTGGTTCTCTCTCTCTCTCTCTCTCCCTCTCTCTCGGTATTCCTCATAATTCAAAATCTCTCACAGTATGTTATCAACATGTGGTCTCTCACAGTAAATGCACAGCACCATACATGGTATATCTCACAGTATACCTTTGTTGGGGCATCTCTTTTTGGGTGTATACATCCTCTGATAGTTTTTTTGATCTGTCCCCACTTATCATTTTGAGAGAAAACTTGTATCAGACATGAAGAGAAAGAGAAACATGTTCATTTGCTTGGGGCATTGATGGATTGAGCGTTTTCTATATATGAGTGCAAAATATATGAGAGTTTACCATGGGAGTTGACTGTGAGAGTTTACCATGAGAGTTGACTCTGTGAGAGTTTACCATGGGAGTTGATTCTGTGAGACTTTACCATTTGGGTTGATTGTAAGAGTTTACCATGAAAGCTGACTGTGAGTTTACCATGAGAGTTGATTTCGTAAGAGTTTACCATGAGAGTTGACTGTGAGAGTTTAACATGAGAGTTCACTGTGAGAGTTTACCATGACAGTTGATTGTATAAGAGTTTACCATGAGAGTTCACTGTGAGAGTTTACCATGAGAGTTGACTGTTAGAGTTTACCATGAGAGTTGATTGTGAGAGTTTACCATGAGAGTTGATTGTAAGAGTTTACCATGAGAGTTCACTGTGAGAGTTTACCATGACAGTTGATTGTAGGAGTTTACCATGAGAGTTGACTGTTTGAGTTTACCATGAGAGTTGACTGTTTGAGTTTACCATGAGAGTTGACTGTGAGAGTTTACCATGAGAGTTGATTGTGAGAGTTTACCATGAGAGTTGATTGTAAGAGTTTACCATGAGAGTTCACTGTGAGAGTTTACCATGACAGTTGATTGTAGGAGTTTACCATGAGAGTTGACTGTTTGAGTTTACCATGAGAGTTGACTGTGAGAGTGTCATCGAAATAGTTAGGAAGGTATGATTACCAAATGAATATTTGCATTGTTCACATCGTAGCTGTATTCAGTGAAATCCAATGAACATACTTTCTTTCTAAATATATCATATCTCCCAAAAACAACATTAAATATCATCTCTCTCAAAAAACACATGTCCAAGAGTTCTCAAAGTTCTCTCAAAGTTTTCTCTCAGGGTTCTCGCCCAAATTCGTTCCCATTCCCCTCACACACAAGAGCACTGCTTTCCTTTTTTTGAGCCAGAGATCGGTTTGTCTCCGTGCCTATTCCTACATAGTACAGATTTGGACACATCCAAAAGTCCAAGTCCTGTAAACAGCTGTGGGTCCTAAAAAGGGATCCTTCAGATCTTTACCAGACTAGACAATTCCTAGTCTCAGCTCTGCCACAACACCGAAGTTTTTCGGGTGAAGGCCGGCCAAAATTCAAAAGCAAAAAAGCTTATATGCGGCAAAGGCAAGGATTTTTTTTGTATATTCTGACACTCCTCTCACATGATAACATCATGAAATTATTCATATACTGTATAGGATCGTAATATACATATATATGTGGGTGTTCATGTGTTTCAGTCCAGCTGAAATATTTTGTAAACATAAATTGCACATGTTCCGTATATACTTCTCATTATTGCCATTGCAAAGAAGGAGCACTGGGTTCAACCCACTGCTGCATGATGTCTTTTAGTTTCACATCGTGCAACAAGTCAAACGCTTCCTTCAAATTTAGACCACATGGCTTTTTCTCCTCCCACCAGCCGCTGCTCTCGTCAACAAGCCATATTTTCTGATCTTCGACACGGTACCTCATTGGATTCAGGGAAACACCTCTCAGTGGAACAAAAAAACATCCATAATGTTTTTCAAAAAGTATGGAGGTCAGGTGATTGTATAGTTTTCTCTGCATCCAACAAAACCACGTAAAAATACACATATATATATATATCTATCTATCTATCTATCTATCAAAAGATGAAGAATGTAATCTCATATGGTGTATCCAAGTTGCCCTTCATGTCGCAGCATTCGCACAAAGAAGTCTTCAGGATTTTCAAAGACATCTCGGTGGTCTTCACCATATAGCTTCAAGCCTGCCATGAAGAGCCGATCCAAGAAGACCAATACTTGGTAGGTGAGGTCGCTGCCTGGAGAGCCTCGCATCTGCACATGTAGCCAACTTTCGAAAAAGTCTCGAGCTTTGCCACGGTTCGACATCCAAAGATCCCATCGAGGAACCACAAGGCCATTCATGGTCTGGCAGCAAGGTTGGACACCAACAGATTCAACGAAGGTGTTTACCACAATGTTTTTTTTGTGTTTAATACAAAACCTAAACTTGAAAACACTTTAGATTCTCTATGCCCTAGGCCCAACAAATATGTTTGAACTCCCCTTGCCTTGATTTCCCAACTTCCCCACTGAAAGCGAGAACGTTCGTGGAACCCTGCGGAATGGTCCTCCTTTCGTTGCCATGGACAGCCATTGTAAAACTTGTGCCTGCACGTCAAGAGTGTTTGGCAAAACTCTTTTAATCGAGCATCCACTCCAAAAAGAAAGAAAAGTAAGACAAGTACTATTTTTCACCAAGGTGCAAGTCCATGAGGGATAAGAAAAATCGATCCCTATAGCCAGCATTGATAAGGAACACCATTCCTGAAAGGACCCTGAACCACGGGGACTCATCGCGGTCGCAAAGCACGTCCATGGCTTGAGCTCGGGAGATCACAAAAGTCTCAGGAAGACGTGTCGGGATGGCGCCAAAGGCCCTTTGATAAACGAATTCTGACAGAGAGAGAAAACACACTCACACCACATCGAAGAACCATCTCTCTCCAAGTATCTCATGACTCTCCAGGTCTCTCTCTCTCTCTAAGTGTGACTGCGTGTCTCCGTTGAGAGTGATCCCAAAAGAACCATGTCATATCCTAAAAGTTAAAGACATAAACAACCTGCAATATAAATATGTAGATATACATAGGAGAAATCTATCTAGTGTTGTGATATAAACAAATAAACGAATGAATGCACAATAAATCAATAAACAAGTATATATATAGATATGTATGTATACGACAAATTTCTCTCTGTGTTCACAAGTTTCTCGCCAGCATATAGAGTCCCATCACAACCAAGCCATGTTTTTTGTCACTTTTTCAATCTTTGTGCTCAGTGAAAAGCATGTGTAAACCCAATCTATAGTGGGCAAGCATCTTCCTGAAGCAAAGGGCTCCGTTGTTGCCTCGAACGCAACTTTGTAGCAAAACTTGACTTTTCTGCATCATGTCTTCTCCTCGGAAGCACCAAGTAGTTCTCGGGTTGATGTGACGACTGAGAATTGCAATCTCCAGGACAGCATGCGCCTTCGACGTCATGTCGAACATGGGTATACCCTCTTGAATAAAATGGTCTGCCAGTGATGAGCACAGTTGCATCATAGAAAATGCCGCATTCATAAAGGCAGTGTAGGCAGCAAGGGGTAAGGCATAGTCATCCTTGTGGTCGTCCAAAATGTTCTCAAACTGGATATTTAGTCTGAGATATAAATCGATTTGTCTGTGGGTCTCCACGTTCTTATTCATGAAATGAGCCCACAATGCTGATAGTGGTTTTGCTAGGTCCGCTAGGTGTCGCACCTCCGACGCTTTGCCCCGTAGTTTGGGAAACTTCTTTTTGCGTATGAACATAGATATCTTAGTCAGATATCGATAAGGCGAAGGAATGGAATGCTCCTTGTAGAATCGCTTCAAAAAGTCCCAGCATCTTTTCAAATTCTGTTCTTCGCTTCCAGGCAAGAGGTACTGGCATAGTAGTGTGAGAACTGATCCAAAGAAATACATATCGTGGCCCAAGTACTTGCAATGCATCAGGTCGAGCGACACAGTGTGACAAGATTGCCCAGGTAATTCGTTGAATAAAGGGTTCATGGAGCGAGCCTCAAAATTAAACCAGTCGGCTTTGCTCCACCGAGTACCTAGCCAAGCCGCAGTCTTTCTAAAGTCTGTCCATGTGGTCACTCCACCAAGGGTACATTTGCAAAGTGCACACGGCCCCTTTGCCCAGCTAAAGTGAGGAAGCTGTAGTATCGATGAAAAATAATCCATGTCTCCAATGACAGAGAAAAGATCACCAGTGAAACCTGCCGCCAGATCTTGACCTGCCAACTTTCCCCGCCAGGAAGATGAAGGAAATAAGTGTCCATTGTGGTCCCGATGGGGCCACTTACCCGAATACAAAGACTGCAGCGACCAGACTAGAACTTTGAAAAATGTTGAAAATGTACCATCAGTTCCCTCACCATCCTTTTTGCAGAGTTTGAAAGCTCCCCATATAAATTTCATGGACTCCTTGGTCCCTGAAGATGTAAGCATGCTGGCCCAGCTAAACACAGTTGCAATCTTGGACCATCCCTTTCCAATTCCGACGATTGGAACCCCGTCCCCGTGCAGCAGGATAGGTACAGTTTTCGTTTTGTAAGAAGGACATTCTTTCAGTGGGGAATTAACCAAGGTTGGATGGCCATCGGTGACTGTCCAGAACCTTTCCAAGTGAGCCTGCGACGGTACCATCGTTTTTTGCCATGTTTGTGGATACTTGTGATAAATTGCGCTGAAGACTTCATGAGGAAGAAAAACATCCTGTTTCTGCATGCCCAAAGGCGGAGCATATTGGATATCCACTGGGTAAGGCTCCGGTAGGTTAGACAAGCCTTTGCATTTGCCCATGAGCTCCGTGTGCATCTTGTTCGCGTACAGACCTTCAGTTCCTAACTTGGATAATGTCTCCAGGTCATTCCAGATTGTTTCAGAAGTCTCAGCACTCTTCAAATCTTTCATAACCAAAGCACTGATCTTTTGTACTCGTTGCACGCTAAAGTGTCCCCATGCAAACATTGACAACAACCAAGTACAGAGAACGCTCTGGCAGTTCAGCTGTTCTTCCTGCAACATGCGTCGCAGTCTTTGCCTCTGGCCACCAGAACGATCACGTTTTCGAGACATGTGCGCCACCATGGCGGTGCTAAGCAAAGATCTAATTCAGATGTATGTCGATATGGGGTGCACAGCTGTGGCCCTGACAAGAAACTCTTCTTATACTCTATGATGGTGTTGAAAGGTTTGGATATTTATACGACATATTTATTTGTTCTTCTGATCTGAAAATAAAAACATTGCATACGGGGTCGAGAAAGTGGATATCACATGTTGTTCCTGTTTTTTTTGGCGACCATGAGAGTGTGTCCTAACCATGAGAGTGTTGTTGATGTTCACTTTGAGAGTCAGCGTGCAACCATCTTGACAGCCTTCAAACCTAGAACTTTCGGACATTTTCCTTCTACACAAGTCCAACCTCTCTCAAAGTTCTCTCAAAGTAAAACCAGGTCACAACACGACAACCTCTCTCAAAGTTCTCTCAAAGCAAAACCAGGTCACAACACGATATAGTATCTCTCAAAGTTCTCTCAAAGTAAAACCAGGTCACAACACGACAACCTCTCTCAAAAAAAACCAGGTCACAACACGACAACCTCTCTCAAAAAAAACCAGGTCACAACACGACAACCTCTCTCAAAGTTCTCTCACAGTGAACCAACTTCAACCCAAAACTTCTCGACTTTCTCTAGGATGCGACCGCCTTTTTTCTTCTCTGCGCTCCACAATTCCCTGAAGATCTGTAAGGTTCAAGGTTGGAACTTTGCATGAATTGCTAAATACTGTATAATCTATTGTACTGCTGTGGAACCTTGTTCAAAGTTCAAAACCTCAGGTGGGCATGTCCTTGGCAAGCATGATGTTTGTTTTAGGGCTTCGTTCGGTCGCAGCCTTGCACGCAGAAGCGGCAGGCACTCTGGCATCTGCGAGCACGTACTGGCCCATGAGCTGGCACCGGTGGTGGCTGGACAGCTTCTGGTGGGTTTTCCTCATCAGGTTCTTCCCGCATGAAAACACGCGGCCGCCCCCTCAGGTTGATCTGGAAGCGCTCTGCCAGCTCCAGCACGGTGAGGAACAACAGCTGAAACAGCTGCGCAGGGTTCAGGTTCTTCAGCTGGAAGCTCTCCATGGCCGCAGGTTCAAGTGACAGTCCACAACTACACGAAAGGGTTTGAAATTGATATGAGGAAAATGCTACGTCACCAATGGCACAGTATACATGTGTTAGAACTGTTTGAACATGTTTGAAAAAGTCTTTCGATAATCGATTTCCAGGATCATAATTCACTATTCTGATACTGTGTTCTTTTGTTTCAGCATCAGGATGTTTAAAAATGGAAGGTTTTAGACAAGATTCGTCACACAGTGTGATACCCGTAAACCATCTCTTTCCTCTCTCAAAGTAACCCACTCTCACTCCAAATCTTACTCTCACTCGCTCACGGTTAGACAGTACGACTGCACAGAGGGCATCAAAGTAATTTGTGTACATGAAATTTGTTGCATGAGAAGACATCAGTCAGAAATGTGTAAGAGAAAGAGAGAAAGAGAGAAAGAGAGAGAGAGAGAGTCCGTCCAAGTCCTGTCACAATGTTCTATCAAAGTAGTCCGTCCAAGTCCTGTCACAATGTTCTATCAAAGTTCTCTCAGAGTTCTCTCGGGGTTTCCTCTCAAGGTTCTCTCAGGGTTCTTTCAAAGATCCCTCAAAGTTCTCTCAAAGTCTGACACAACGTTTTCCCACATGGTTATCTCAAAGTTCTTTTCAAACACTAGAACCATGCAAACTATATACAAAACTAAACAACTGTAAATACCACCACACCTTGGGTCCCAATTTAATTGTAAAAAAAGCATGAACACACATGTTTCACAGAGTGTTTCTCTGACAAGAACTTGTTTTCAAAGCATATACAGAAAAACTGTCACGCATTTGCACTGTTTTCCCCATCGCATTTGACTCACCGTTGACGGCCAGATACACAAAATTTATGTGGTTTTCACACACATACTCAAACATTTGTATTCAGGCCCTTGAGAAATTTTCTGTGGATATCTCACACAGACTTGAATCAAGACTCACTTGGCCTTGGACTTCATGTAGCCTTTGATCTCCTCAATCTTCGTGTTCAGCTGGTCAACCGAAGAAGCGATATCTCCAAGAGCTGATTCGAAAACCGTGCTGGTGAGCTTCGTGCCATCTGGCATTTCCACAAAGTTTTTCATGTGATCCAAAGTGGCCAAGTGAGCAGTCATGGACTTGTATCCATCCTTCATGATCTCTTTGCGCTCATGCCCCACCTCTTTCTGAAGTTTGAGCGTGTCCTTCGACAACTTGTCACAAGCTCCATGTGCTTTTTTGATCAAGGCCTCGTAGCTAGTGGGGAGGCTCCCAGCAGTAAGTTCCTTCTGATCTCCTGGCTTCTTGCGAAACGTCCAGCTCAACTTGGACAACAGATTCCCAATCTCATGAAACTCTTGAAGTTTGCCTTTCTTCGTCCCAATGGCTTCGAGCCTCTGATCACTGCCTTCTCAACTGCAGAGGTGAGCTTCTTGTATGAGTAGAACCGCACACCGCCGTCATCTTTGACATGCTGCAGTTCGCCCAATTCCAAAGCTCGGTTAAATTTCTGCTCGTCCCCCTGATAATAGAGGCCCACAATCAACGATTTCGGCATCGCTTCGTTCTCCTCTTTCGAGTAGCGGCG